CAATTGAATTTTAAACTAAAGTAAAAAAATATAATATATTTCAAATAAATAACGTTATTTACCATTATGAATAATTTGATATAGACCTACTCGTACGAGTAGTAAGATGTAGTCGACATGTTTACATACATCAATGCGTCACCTATATATATATTTCTTCAAGGTGAAATGTTTCCTTTCCTTTAAGTTCTCTTCCGTTAAAGAAAAAAGAATGTACTCTGATGCACATATGATGGTAACTTTTTCTTCCTATGTCATGTTTTTTTTTGCATATTTGAACAAACAGAACGGTAAAATTTCTTTGTTCTTGAAAGATTTGGATGTATATAATTATATTTTTATTACCTGATATATCAAATATAACCTTAAAAAAACGTGGAAGTTATTTTTCTTCTATGAAGAAAGTAAACAATTAACGTGAAAAATGATAAAAAGAGCCTCAAGACATTGGCAACGTAAGATGTTATTTTTTTCAAGGAGGTAATAGCTTTTTATTAAAATAACATGTGTCATTCATCAACTCTATAAATCATTAATAATGCATTTGACTTCTACTTTGGATATTTATTTTTATTTTAATGAAAATAATTGAAAATTTTATATTAAAAAAAAAGAGAAGATTATTATTTCTTGATTTTAAGTTTTTCTTTGTCATCTAATAAAATAAATACAAAATTAGAAGATAATATAAATTTTCAAATTACTTTTTAATAATGGTCTTGCGTCGTATTCTTTTGTATCATCATTATCATCTGTATCGGAACTTTGTTCTAAATTATAATTATACGAAGAAGAAAAAATATTTAATATTCTATACTAACCATATGTTGTATAATAGTCTGGATCACTATTAAATTCATTTTGTATTTTATTAACTAAATGAAATGAATAAAAATTCTTTCGAAGATTGTTTTTCTAATTTTAAACATACACTTGGATACTTGAGGAACTTTCGTATCGGATAAATGATAAGATAATGATGCTTTTTGCTTGACAAACGTCTTCATTTCAGATTCTGAGACAAGAAGTAGATATACAAAAAAATATTGATTGAGAGATAAATATCATACCGAAAGTAATTGGTAATATATTTGTTTCTGTTGTTGAAAAGACTTTATTGAATTCTTGTTGTCGAATAAGATAATAAGTAAGAGGATAACGAGTTTTAAGTAGATTATCAAGTAAACGTGCTTGAGCTGTTTTAGTCATGATAATAACTGATTATTTTGAATTGAATTTTTTGAATGCGCTACTATCGTTGACTTAAAATGAACTTTCTATTGGTAATAAAACAGATCTTTGTTCTTCTATTATCTGTTCTATGACATATCCATCAAGAGAATTAGATTTTATTCTTATAAAAAACAAAACTGTATACTTCATTATGAAATTATAAGAATATTAATATTTTTATTTATCTCTAAGAAAATAATGGCAAAAAGAACAAAAAAAAAGAAACCATTAAAATAAAATTAATCGTAATCATAATATTAAATTTTATGCATACGTATGTCATTTTTTGTTGATACAGCCAATATATTTGGACCGAATAGACTAACATGATAAGGATCTGGAGCGTATTCAATAGTTTTTTTTACTTTACCATCTTTTGTTATGTACATTAGACGTTTTGTTTCATAATCAGCTACAAGCCATTCATCCGAACGAAGTGCACAACAACCAAATTTTCTATTTTGATTACAGACAATATCAAGTTTAAGAGACCAAATTCGATTTAATGTTTCGGCATCTCTCGATTCAATACGTAATGTTTTCTTTGTTATATTCACAATTATTAAAGCAAGTTTTCCATTATTGTAAACAACACCACTAATAACTTCATCACGTGAACATGTATGAGGAGTTTTCAATTCTCTAACCAATTGTATTGTAGGTAATAATCGATATTCCTTTATTGATGAAGCTCGTTCACCTGTCGACAAAAATAGAGATGTATTAGAACATGTACATGATAACCAAAGACCCGTTTCAATTGTTTGTACATTATCAATTGTCATTGTATTTTCATCGATAAGTAATACATCATTTTCTTCAATAACAATAAAACGATTTAATGTTGATGACCAACACATATCATATATTGCATCATATGACCATAATGTTTGTTTGACTATGTTCATTTCTTGATCAACTAAACATAGATTTGGTTGTTGATGTATTAATAGATATCGATCGTTACTAGCCAATGCATAACTTCCAGCAGAACGATTTATTGTTTTGTACACAGGTGAAAGAGTCGATACACAAGGTTCTTGATCAGCCTTTTCTTTAATTACAACTAATGTATTATCGATTACTAATGGACGAGTAGAAATTGTAAAACATGTTTGTTCGATTTTATCGATTGTTCTTCCAAGTTGACGAACTGTTGATGTTAATGCAACAATATCTTTACGTGTTGTTTCTTGTGCACGAATAAGTTCAGCAACTTTTGTCTGTATTCGATTAAGTTTTTCACGTTGTTCAGCTACTTTTTCATGAACAAGTCGATCGAGTTCTTGAAATTTTTGATTAAAAAATGTATCAATTTTTTCATAACAATCATCACGCCATTTTTCAAGTTTTCGACGACAATCACCAAGTGCATGTTGTGTATGTATTGATTTGAGACGATCATCAAGAACATTGATTTCATCAGCTAAAGGATTTAATTGTGAAATAAGTGCAGCATTATGTTCATTTATATGTTGTAAACAGAGATTTTCTTGACAACAATCACATAGCCAACGTGATTGACGATGACATTTCGGCACTGCACATTGCTGAGACATGTTGCAGATGTACAAGACTATTTTGTTCGTTACTCGCTTCGTTAAACAACGAAGGAAGACACTTTTTTTTTCAACCAAGGTAATAGCGCATATTGATAGAGAAGAACAAATATACGCTGAACATTGAATCTAAATGGAAGGTGTACTATAGATATTAGGCAGTTGAATTTCCGCATGAACAGAAAAAAAGCATTTTCATACTTTTATATATAGAAAATTATTCCTTTTCGAATAATACTTGAATTTATTGTTCTACAACGATAAATGAATAAAAATCTATGTATATCAGAATAGAATTACAAACAATATATATGAGAACCTTGAAGAGTTCAATATGAACGTCCTCTCTCTAATGCAGTTCGTCATATTAATTCAATGATTCATCAAACTCAATCTATTTTGATGAAGCCTTGTTAAACAAGGCCGACAGACATGAACCAAACATATAAATCAAAGGTCATAGTCTCACTGATATAGATGTAACAACCCTATCAAATGAAAATGTTATGTTTTATCATACAAAACTAATTCATAAATTATTATCATTTCTTCATAGTTTTTTTTACATGCTAATCTTTCATTGATTTTCACCAAAAAATTTTCGAAAGTAAAACGAACAAACAAAATCTATATTATAATGTACAAGATTCAGTTCCGTAACAAAGAACGGAAAGAAAATATATACATATACATATATGATTAGCCGACGATGACCATCTGTATACATTGTCCTATCATTCTATATTATTATTATTATTATCTGCCCATTCATTAAAATAAAAGAATAAGACAAAAGGAAAAAATAAGACATAATAAAATAAAAATACCTATATTAAAATTTACAAGTTTTCTTCTGAGACTTTTTCTTTTATCCAAACTTTTATACGTATGCCACACCTCATACTTGAACTTAAATATTCAATTATCCATCTACAAGAAGGTAACAGCGGAGGGGAGAGTGAACCGAGAGCATAGGTGAGCATAGAGCACAGGGAGAATATGATTAACGGGAACAGGAGTAACTGGGCAAGCAGAACACCAGTGATGATGAAAGAAAGAGAGATACAAAAAGAGAATAGTTTAATACTCGAAGCGAACAACTAAATTCAACTTTCAACTTTGTCACCACTCACTTTCTATTGAGCCAGTTTTCTCTATAAAATGAAATCTTGACTCTTCACAGGGGCCTCTAGTATATTGAATAATGTTTAATTAATATAGAATATCTTCACTTCTATTAAATTCTAATTTTTTGTTTGTTACGTTTAAAAATATTGTACCAGATGTATATTAAAAACACATTAATGATAAAATCTCTCAAACAATATATATATAATTTATTGTTCATGATGTTCTCACTATTCTGATGAGAAAGTATTGCTAAATAAATAGTGAAAAGCAATCAAGTATATCAGTCATAAGAAAGGCGAAAGATTACACGTATGAATAATGATTGAATATGAATAAAATAATTGCAAGGTTGATAAAGTGAAGACGATAAAGATATTATATTTATGAAGTGAATATACATTGTATGTACAATTTGTCAAGAATATTAAGTTATTATTTTATGAAGGATACTCTACAGGTTATTGACCTTAATGATAGTTTTGTCATTTCTGTCAATATATTTCTAAATGTAAGACATCTATATTGACATAGGTGTACATATCAATGGAATATTAAAAGAAAAAAATTATTTGATGAACAAAGAAAATCGAATTTCATTTAATATGAAAAATAAGGTATACATTTCGTTTCTCAAGCATGCGTCACTTGTACAGATGAATGCTAGATTTTATTCTGTTTAAGTATAAAGTGTAGGTAGTAAGTTTTTCCCCTGAGAATATTTTTATTGAATAATCTAACTGTTAAAAATCATTATAAATCTCATATGACAAAGATAATTAAAAAAAAACAATTTTAGTCATAGATTAGAGTTTATGTAAGTTAACTCCATCGTTTCTTGATATAGCTAACATATGTCCAAATAGATTAGCACGATAAGGAATTGCATTGTAAGTAATTGCTTTCTTTACTTTTCCATTTTCTGTAATATGTAATAGACGTCTTGTTTCATAATCAGATACAAGCCATTGATCACAAGTCAATGAACAACAACGAAATGCTATACTTTGAGTGCATACAATATCAAGTCGAAGAGACCAAATTCGATCGAGTGTTTTTACATGTCTTAATTCAATACGTAATGATTTCTCAGTTTCACTCATAATCATCAAAGCAAGTTTTTCATCATTGTAAACAGTACCACTAATAACTTCATCTTGAGCACATGTAAGAGGATATTTCCATTCTTTAATAAGTTTTATCGATGGTAAAAGTCTAAATTCAACAATAGATGATGTATATTCATTTGTTGATAAAAATAATGATGTTTCAGAACATGTACATGATTGCCAATATCGATCTTTTGGTATTTTCATATTATCAATTGCCATTGTATTTTCATCAATTAAAAATATAATTTTACCTCCAATAACAATAAATTTCTTTAATGTTGATGACCAACACATATCATAGATTGCATCATTTGTCCATAGAATTTGTTTAACTATTTTCATCTCTCGATCAAGTATAGTAAGATTTGGATGTTGATGTATCAATAAATATCGATCATTACTCGCCAATGATGCAAAACTACCATCAGGACGATCAATTGTTTTACAGACAAGTGAAAGACTTGTTAGATCAAGTTCATGTTTATGTGCTTTCTTAATAAATATTATATGATCATTGAGTAATAATGGACGAGTATGAATCATAAAACATGTATCTTCAATATTCTTTAAACTTTTTTCAAGTGCTCGAATATGTGTTGTCAATGAATCGATATCTTGACAAGTAATTTCTTGTGCACGAATAAATTCCATCATTTTTACTTGTAATCGATTGAGTCTTTCACGTTGTTGACTTACTTTCTCATTCACAAGTTGATCAAATTCATGACATTTTCGTTCGAAAATCTCTTCAATCTCTTCATGACAATAATCTCGCCATTGCTCAAGTTTTCGACGACAATCGCCAATGATCTCGTCGATATCTATTGTTTTGAGACGGTCACCGAGTGCATTTATTTCATCAGTTAAAGGATTTAACTGTGAGATAAGTGCACTATTATGTTCATTTAAATGTTGAAGACAAAGATTTTGTTGACAACAATCACATAGACCACGAAATACACGATTACATTTCGGTGCTGCACACTCATGCGACATTTTGTGCATGTATAATATTGTTTTGTTTGTTAGAAACTTCGATAACAAATAAACAGGATACGCTTTTTTCGTTCAAGGTAAACATCTGTATGTGAAGGTAATGAAAAAATTATTTTCGTACTGATATGAATGGAGTGGGAGTCGAATCTAAAAGCAAAATTAACGGAAGATGTCGTATAGAGAATGACTGAGCAACAAGAACTGATAATATTTTGTATAAAAGATTATCATAAGAATTTGTTAGATATTCATTTTATTCGAAATACTATAGATATTGTATTATTGCCATATTTCATGATTGTCAGATCAATAGATCATGAAGGACGATTTGTACCATAAAATTTCGATAAAATTCTGTATTATTAAAAATTTTATTCTATATTACAAAGTTTGTCTTTTTAAAATATCCTTGTCATGGGTTGAAGTTCTATTATACAAACAATTATTGAACCGCGTAATAATTGGTATTTTTTTCTTAATATTCAATGAATTTGAATGTGCTTAAATTCTACCTGACTTTAACCGTTCTATGCATATTATCTTAAATATTTTAATACCAGCTGCTCACTACTTTTCTTTTAAATAACAAATAATTTGTTATTTTCACGGATTTAATTCCATCTCGTATACATGTATAAGGAGTTTTCCATTCTCTAACCAATTGTATATGTACATGATAACCAACACATATCATATGACCATAATGTTTGTTTGCCTATGTTCATCTCTTGATCAACTAAACGTAGATTTGATTGTTGGTATACACTATACTATCATCGAGTAATAGGAGATGAGTATGAATCATAAAACATGTGTCTGCAATGACCCTCATATACTTTTCGGATGATCGATCATGACAATCATTAGGTGAGTTAATTTTACTATCTCAAGAATTTAGCTGAAAGATAAATAATAGTTTTTTAGCGATATGACAAAGAAAAAAGTTCTTTTATTGTTAAATTCAATAGCAAAATATCATTTAGCTTATCACTAAATAATAACAAATATTAATTTTTTTAACAAAAGAATTTTTGTTTTATATTTGATATTACAAATTGTATGCGTCAATAGATATTTATTAAGTATATGTAGCTTATTCATGTAAAATTATCTCATTTAATCTCAATAACATTTTATTAAAGAACACGAGAAAAAAAAAGAATACAAAATATCTGACAAAAATATTCCTATGATTAAGATGAATTCATTTGTTGTTCAAGTAATAAACGGGCCATTTGCGCAAATGTTGGTGCTGCCATAGCTACTGATTCATCTAATTCTCCATTGACTGGTGGCTAAAAAGAAATTTCAATAACTATTAATATATCGATAGATATTTATGAAATCATTTACCATTGGGATAAATTTAATAGAATCTTGACTACATATTGGTCTTTGGCTTGAACCATTTCTTGCTGCAAGAGTATGTGCAACAACTTCTTCATTTGAACTATTTGAAAAAGTCTATTGAAGAAAAAAAAACACGAGATTATTGACAAAAACTAATATTTGAATTTACACTAAATGGAATTGAAATACTTGAACCATCATGAACATCATCAGTATCAATTTTTGCAAGAAGAATGTTTGTTATTGAACCTTAATTAAATAATAAATAAAATAACGACAAAATAAAACAAATTTCTTCATACTCGAACATGATTTTTTAAAACGTATTTGTCCTGATGATAAATCCCACATAACACAATCTTTATCTAAACTACCAGAATATAAAATTTGTTCATCTGCACTTAATCGAAGTGCTACAACTGAACCTCTAGAGAGAGAACAAAAAAAAGAACATTTTTTCTATCAATTCATGATTTTTATTTACTGATGATGAACGAATTGTTTTGAATTATTACTATCAATTGTAATCGTTGGATTTTGATGTAGAAAACCTCCAAACTAAAATATTATTGTTTTAAAACATATACACAAATATCTTGTAATTTACTTGTGTTGTTAATGTTCGTAATGGAACACTAAAAATTGTACCAACATCTGTTCCACAATAGATTGTTGTTGCAAATGATGATGTACATATCGAATGTATTTCATTAGGAAATAAAAATGTACATAAACATTTGCCTGTAATAATATCCCATAACTAAATATTGAATTAGTTTTTTTGTTTGTTTAAAATAAATGAATATTAAAACATACTCGAACACTTAGATCACTTGATGCAGTTAATATTAAATGAAATTTACCAATTGATATTTGACAAACATCATGAATAGGACCTGTATGACCTTGAAATGATTTTGTTGGAGATACATCAATATTTCGATCGAGATTTATACTGAAATATAAATATCATAGAGGAAAAAGAAAAGAAATGTTTTTTATTTACTCTTCAATATTCCATCGATGAATAAGATTATCTTCACCAGCTGATATTAAACAATCTTGATCTTCATCAAATAATAAATGATTTATCGTACGAATATGTGCGGAAAGTGTTATCAAATGTTGACCATTATCAAGCTAAAAATTATAAACTAAATAAGATATGTGTTTGTATAAAAATAATACTTTACTTTATAAAGAAAGATTTTATTGCCAATTGCACATGCTAAGACAGTTGAATCTCGAATAAATGTCATGCAACTGATAGGTCCTGCAACTGTCATTTTTTTATAATCTCGATTCTAGATTTTAAAAAATATATGTATACATCATTTATTATGTAGAGAATAATTACTCGACTGTTTAAATTCCAAACATAAATTGAAGGACGATCAATAGCAGCAGCATAGATATGATCTCGAGAGCATAACAGACCATGAGATACAACAGGTGCATCACATTTAAATGTAAGAAGAACATTTCCATTTAATCCATTAAAACCACTGATTGTCCACGGATGAGCATGTTGTGTAGTAATTAAAACAGTTGGTTGATACTGAGACGTTGTCGTTGTTTTCGAAGATAACATGATTGTAATAGTATTAGAAAGTGTTTTATTCTAAATTGAATTGAATTGAAATAGCTAAATCGATTCGAAGAGAAATAAACTTATTGGTTAATAGAATAGATGTCACTGTGAAGAAATTTTTATTAAAATATTTTGAAAAAATATAACAATTAAATATTTCAACGTTTATTAGTAATCACAAAAATATAGGATGTTACATAAGAATGAAAACTTTTCTTTAAAGAACCTTGTGTCAATGTTATATAAAACATACATAGCATATATTATGGACTTGGAATAATATGGCTGTTAGCAAAAGCATTAAAATTATTGCCAGTACTTTGTTGAGGAGCATTCTTGCCTTCCGACCACCATACTTTATCATCAGGACCAACCAATGAAATAGTTACATACCCAGGACTAGCTGGATAAGGTATACATTCGGTCTGTTCAAGTTGAGTTATTCTGTAACTACTCTTTACACCATTCAAATCAACTAATACAGTATATAGTCCACCATTAGGTCTAATACTTTTAACAATAGAATGAATAGCAACACAATCTTGAGCATCATTACGATATTGAGGAACATCACCATTAACATTGTTCTTAGGATGAGTACGATACCACCAATAAAATTGATCATTAGTAACAGTAGGTCGAGCATTATTTTTATACCATTGAATATAATGTTTTGATAATTCTAACCAAGCATCATGATGCATAGGTTGCGGACTATTAATCATATTACTAATACCACCCATATCAGTTGGTAAATCACTGCTAATAGAACATAAATAGGAAGATTCAGAGTAATCATTCCATGTAATAATTTGAACAAAATCAGGTTGTAATGATACAATTTGTTGCCATCTATCGGGAAGAAGTCTTTCAGAACCATAGATCCAATTTTTACTCCATCCTGATCCCCAAACACGAGTATAAAACCATGGAGCCATAGGAGCCATATATGTTTTACCAGTGGCTTTGGCACTAGCAAGTAAATTTCTATCACCAGTCGTATCGAAATGAGCACCTGGTCCAGAATTGCCAGCAGGCCAAGCATTCCAAGTAAAGATACAATCAGCAACTGGATGTGATTGAAGTAAATTAGCCGTAGCATAATTAGGCCAACTTGGACAAAAGTAAGGATTTAAGCCACTAGCAGTTTTCCAATTTGCCCAAAATGAATCTTGATTTTCACCAGCAAAAGTAGAATATAATGGTCGACCATTTACTTTAAAATAATTAGGATGACTACCGGCAAAATGAAACCGACTGAGAACACCATTATCAAAAGTAAGAGATGACATATCCAATGAAATAAACATAGTAAAATCACCATTGTCTTTAGCAGCAGCTAGAGCCTTAGCTACACGATCAGGTTGCCATTCATCAATACCAACATTGAGTGCAAATCCATCGATTCCTGCTGATCTTGCTCGTTTGATTTGAGCATCAAAGAAGCTCTGATCTGATGGATAAGCAAATCCAACCATATAATGAGCAAATACTTTTTTGTCAGATTTAGAACCAGATGGTTGACCAGGAGTCGTAGTAGGAGTTGTTGGTGAATTAATAACTTGAAAAGTTAGAGGATAAGCAAAAGAACCTACAATCTTGAGACGAACAGAACCAGATGATGTGGAAAATTGACAATCAGGTCCACCCATTCCAACACAACCCCAAACAACGTCCCATGTATTTCCAATAGATACTTTCCAATTGTATACCTTATGAGGTACAAGTCCATGAACATCAACAGCATATTCGCATGATTGAGCGTAAGTAGCGATCATAAGACCTTTGGGTTCAGCAGGATTCCAATTAGAACTAGATCCAGCATCAACAGCCCAATCACCGATAGCTCGAAATTGTTGAGTATGCCATCCACAGTTAGGATCAGTGTATTGAGCCAAGATAACGACACTACAATATAATAGTGTAAACACCAGCAATTGAATTCTGCTGATGATCATCTATACAAAATACAAAGTTTATTTAGAGTATTAGAAAAAAAAAGAAATACTCAATTTACCGTATTTGTGTTAATTTATTAAAATAGATTCTGTATTCACACGAAAATATTACCAATTGAAATGTCTGAGTATATATATCAGTAAGCTTACTCTTATTCGTTGCACTTTGTATTCTTTATGTGTTAATCAACATCAGGTGTATTTTGTTATTAGATTTTTTCAGTTGGATGCCGTATTTCTATTTTAGTAAATTGAATTTCTGATACCTTTCGTACTTTTTTTTATAAATCCTTTATACATAGAGCACTCCTTTCTAAATAATTACATTTACTTTTTACTTACTAAAATAAAAGCTTTTAATGTAGTAACTTTAGTCGCAAAACATTTATAATTTGGTCCTTTTTCGTATATAATCTTGTTTTTACCTTTTTTCGATTAAATTAGAAACATTCTATTTGATACTACTGTCAGTTTATTGTATTTATATGAAATCTATGTTCGACTGTATCACAAACGCTTGTTGTTAATATAATGTCTATGGTGTTCATAAATAGAGAATGATACAGAGTATAGTATCAATCGATTAGCAACTTCTAAAGACACTCAAATAGACATCGTTTATTAACTTTTTTTTATAAGAATTTAAATCTCTACTTTGATTTTGCTCCGACAAATTGCTGATTTGGTTCTACATAGAAATCTAATATTCATTTCAAATTTCTGAAAAACGAATATTTGACATAGTCATTTATCGAAAATCTATCCATACATATATCTACAGTCAATAGATGTCATAAGGCAAAATTTGTCTCAAATGATTCGTAAAGATTGGCTAAATAATTTGTCCAATAATAAAGCTACGATACGATATACATGGAATGTAAAAACCGATCACTGATCGAACTTTTTTTAGTTTGTTGCTAACTTCTTGATCATCATTCTAATGTTAGTGTGTTCAAACTGTGCTATCCGTTTATCTCCAGTTCTATACAAATATTTTGCTACATGTTCTCTATCAACTTTATCATCAAAACCATGGTTATCTGCTAATAACGTCCTTGGAAATTCAAATCGAACAAATCTTCCTAACTCATCACAATCAAAAACTATTACTAGTACTTTAAATTTTGATATTTATTTATATATTCTTCTTTTTCTACTCTAGTTTTTCCTCTTTCACATTCACGTTCATTTCATACATCAAATAAACGAGATAAAAAAGATTACTATGATGTGTTAGGCATACAAAAAACAGCCACTGCAAAAGATGTCAAAAAAGCTTATTATACGGTTTGTTTGTTTTTTTCTTTCTTAATAAAATCTATTTGAATTGTTTCTATTTAGTTAGCTAAACAATATCATCCAGATACAACCGATAAGAAAGATGCGGCAACCACAAAAAAGTTTCAAGAAGTTTCAGAAGCTTATGAAGTATTAAGTGATGAAGGAAAACGAAAAAATTATGATACATATGGTATGGGTGGTGATCCATTTAGTGGTGCAGGTACTAGTTCATATCCCGGTGCACGTGGTCGTTCAAGTAGTTCAGGTCAAGGTGACTTCCGTGGTTATGAATCTTATCAATCTCAAGTTGATCCTGAAGAATTATTTCGAAAAATTTTTGGTGATGCATTTAGTCGAGGAGGATTTGGTAATCATGAATGGATGAATGATGCACAAGGGAATGATTTTGGTAAACAAGGAATTAGTCAAGTAATACTTTTACAGACGTTTTTCTTTTTATTCTTTCTATTTAGTTATCACTAGATTTAACATTTCAAGAAGCTGTACGCGGTTGTAACAAAGATGTTAATATTAGAATTATTGATACATGTCCAACTTGCAAAGGTAGTCGTTGTGCACCTGGTAGTCAACCACAAAAATGTCGTACGTGTAATGGAACCGGTATGGAAACAATTGAAACTGGCCCATTTTTTATGCGTGCAAGTTGTCGAACATGTCATGGTCGACGTGAAACAATTACAAAACCATGTGTTGAATGTTCAGGAAAAGGAAAAACAGCACAAAAAAAATTTGTATCGATACCCGTACCAGCTGGTAATTATTTACAAAATTGAATTATTGAAAAAAAATAATTTTTGTTTTATTTTTTAGGCATAGAGGATGGACAAACAATGAGAATTAATTTAGGTTCATCTGAAGTATTTGTAACTTTTCGAGTTAAAACAAGTGAAAAATTTCGAAGAGATAAAGAAGATATTCATAGTGAAGTAAATTTATCTATTGTTCAAGCAATACTTGGAGGTGCTATTAAAGTACCAGGAATTTATGAAGATCATCTTTTACAAGTGTGAAAATTTCAACTTTTTTTTTGTTATGAAATAAAATAATTCTATTTTAGATTCCAGCCGGTACACAATCCCATCAACGTTTTCGTTTGATTGGTAAAGGTATTAAACGTCTTCAAAGTCCAGGAACAGGTGATCATTATGTCCATATAAAAATAAAAGTTCCTACGTATGTTAAAAGTTTTTTCTAACAAAGATTTCTTTCTAATTGATCAATTTATAGACGATTAACTGCGGAACAAAAAGCATTAGTATTATCATATGCAGAATTAGACAAAGATATTGATGGAACAATAAATGGATTAACACAAACAAAATCAGGTAAACAAAAAAATCTCTTTCAACATTCAATTTATATGTTTATATTAATAGGGAACCGAGTGATAAATGAGGATGATTATCCATTATTAAAAACCGTACGAAATGCATTATCTAATTTACCGTCAGAGAGTAAAAAAGTAGCCGAAACGATTGATGAAACAGACACGAAACGCAAGGCAACAGCGAAAAAACAAAATTAGTTATTGTTTATGCCAGATAAAATTTGTTTTCTTGTTTTTTTTTGTTAACTTTATAGAATGTTTAGAAAAACATAAATCTGGCAATTGAAATTCAAATCGTATTATAAATGATCATGTCGCTTATCTAGCGATTTTTACATGACAAATGAAATAATATGCGTTATATATCAAAGGTACTAGATTTATCTTAACTATAAATCTATGCGATATATTTATGTAACTAATTTGTTTTGGCCAGACATAAACATAACTAGGGAAGCCTTTATAAGATAAGATGAGTATTATGTATAGACAAATCTTTGTTCCTTGGCTTTAGCTTCATAATCTTTCAAATGAAAACTACATTGAAGATATCAAGTAATTATTTTCTCTTTTTTTTTAATCTTTATGATGAATCAATGAAATAGAAACTTTCAATATATGCCTCATTTATTTAAAAATGAATATTTAGCATTGAGCTCGAAGTACATTCTGATCAAATTGATTCATATAATTTCCTGGTGGTGAATAATTAGTAACAACAACAGCTTTACGTCCATCCTTAGAAAAGGCAACACCAACACCGAGTTGTTTAGAATTTTTCCAAATGACTTGTGTAAAATGACCAACTTTAGCTGAAAAACCTGGTTGATTATAATTATAATCTTTAATTTCATCATACCATGATTGAGTTGCTGCTTTTCCTACAAAAGAAATTGTTTGATAAAAAAAAATATAACAAAAGTATCTATGTACCATGTAAACTTGCTAATGAAGCTGAACTACTCATCATATAAAGATTTTCTCCATGGCCATTATTTGAATGTGCAAATGAATTTGTATTAACAAGTTTTTCAGCATAGCTTTGTGCTATTTTATTCAAATTATCATCAAGTGCAAGATTTGCAGCACAATGACGAGCTCGTAGTGTATTATGATGCACTAATGTTTCTTGTTGAAATCTAATTTGGTCGGCTGTAAAAGCATTAGCTATAAAAAACAAAGTTCGTTACATATATATATATCGTTGATTTATATTTTACCTGATACAATAGCAAACAAAACGAAGGCAATTGTTGAAACTTGAAGCATGGTTTTTCAATGAACTAATTTAAAGACAAAGAACAAGAAATAATCGAATATTGAATCTTTGTATTACTTACTTTTGATAAAGCGAAAAATTGATTTTGAATTTTTTGATCATGATTTTATATACTACAAAACCGTGGGCGAATAAATAGTCTTAATATCTAATTTCCAATTATCGAGGATAAAATATATTCCAGACAATAACAAATCAAAACTAAGCTTTTCGAATATTTGAAAAACGATTCTTTCATATTTCAATTTACTTTGTTATTAACTTTAATTCTTTAGATTACTGATCGTATTTCAGCAAAAACAAAAAAACAATGATTTATTAATAGAAAAGTGCACTATATTATTTATATTCGATGTTAAAATTCTTTGAATTTTCTAGCCTAATATATTTGGTATAGGGAAAAAAACCATTCGATTGAATGTTCTATAATATGATTAGATACGTTAATAAAAAGTATCTATAGAGTGCATTTTATAATTATTCAATAACTTCATGGCCAATAAATTTATCTTATCTGCACTTAGAAATATTTTCCCATTCTCTATAGTTTCGAATTCGAATAGAATTACCCAGGTCAACAAATCTTACGTCAGATCTTACAAAATCTGACAAAAAATCGTGGTTCCTGAAATCTTTTATCAAGTCATACCGCGTTTTTCTTAAAATATCTTACATACATTGTATTTTCTCAGTAATAATTTTAAGTGAGATTTTGAAAAAATATTAATTTTAGTAGAATATTATGGTGACATTGTACTGCATAAGAATCTTATAACAGTTCTTATAGTACGAACTAGTGCAAGAAATCAAGAACCACGATTTTTTGTATGATCCTTGTTTGACTTCATCCGATTACATATGAGCAGAGATACGATTGTTACAAGATCTTGCTCGACCTGGGTAAATAAGGAAAAATATCTTGATATTGCTCATAGATTTAAGTCATTTTTCTCATAAACCTTTAAAGCACAAGTAACTAGTCGATCTGTTGTAAAGATAGTCTCACCAGCAAATGCAAAAAAGAAGTTTTAAATCAGATCTAATACTCATAGAATCTATTACAGCTAGCACTAGATTTATTAGCATAAGTTTTCTATGTATGTTTTTTGACTACTTCTAATCTATCGCAAAGAGCTACATCTTTTAAACAGATATATGAAGTACAATAAATCAAGTGCAAAATTTACTAGACGTTATTTTCCTTTATTCGGACTGACTCTTTGTTTTATAAATCATAATTCGAAATCAATCGATCTCTTTTAGTTTCTACAAATAATCACATGAATATCAATCAATCGAACAAATAAATTACAAAAAGTAAATATTTTTTCGAATCGATAATTCAAAATCTGACCTATATAATAATTAAATAAATCTATTGATCAATAGTGCAAGTCAAAATTTATTTTATCATTCTATGAAAATAATTATCCATGTGTTTCTTTTACTATATTCTTTCGTTTTATTTTATTTGTTCAACTATATTCGTCTATAACGTACATATAAATAAATGCCTGGATAATTCTTTTTCACTGAAGAAAATTAAACATCGAAAATAGTAAATGTAAACATTCGTCTATCCTTTATCATACTTTCATCTTCCTCGGTAGTGATCAGTTCATTGTACATAACTATCTTTTCTGAAAAAAAATACAATGAGTGAATCAAATTCTTGTGTAACATCATCACCGATTCGCGTACATTTTTCTGATGTAACAAATAAAAAGAATATTATTGATGATGATCGTCGATGGAAGTTACCAAATGGTAAAAAAAATTTTAGAAAATAATAAAATCTAATTTTCTTATTTAGCTGCACCAACAATAACAATTGATAATGATGAAAATGAAAATGATGCATGGAATGAATATCGACATTTATTTGAAACAAGTCGTTCACATATGTTAAATTTATCGTCCGTTGATAATTATTTACTTCGACATAGTAGCGCAAATACAAGTTTAAATGAATCAACATCACTTGAACCATTAGTTGATAATCATAATGATATTTTTTCAATGATTGAACATGCAGGAATTACATTCGGTAAGAAATAAATAAAGAAAAATATATATATTATTAAAAATCTCTATTTTTAGAAGCATTAGCTGGATCATCATCAACAGATTTTCTTGGTAGTACAAGTGGTTATCATTCATATGAACCATCGCCATTTAATCAACGTTCAAAACGATCATCTTTACTCGATCCATCCGCAGCTGAATTTAGTATGGAACTTGAAGCAGCTTCAACATCAATTCAGCAATCAATAAATCGATCGTCATTTCAAAGTGATCAACCAGTTCGTCGCTCTTCACGGTCACAAAATTCAACTCTACCACGTATTTCGACTTCATGTAAATATTCATGTTTTTTTGTGTTAAAGAATTTCTGAATCGTTTGTTTTTTTTTAAATAGATGAATATAAATTTGGTGGCTACGGTCGAGGAATTAATGAATTTCTTGAACCAAATGGTATTAGTTTTCTTTCGGATGGTACTATTTCAGTTGTTGATACAAATTCAAGTCAAGTTAAATTATTCGATCCTGTTCGTAGAGAATGTGTACTTAAATTTGGTCAAGCTGGTACAAGACCTGGTGCATTGCTTTATCCATATCGTGTTGCTGTTTTACCTGGACATGATTTAGTAAGAGACAGATACTTTTTTTTCTAATTTAATTAATATTGATAATTATATCATAGCTTGTTATGGTTCAACGATCTCCACGACCAATGATACAAATATTTGATCGTAATGGTCAATTCATTCGCCGTTTTGGTAATGATCTCGAAAGTCCACGAGCTATTTGTATTGATCAACAAGGTCGAATTATTATTATTGAATCAAAAATTATGAAAGGTAAAAAAATTGTTTATTTAAAAGAAATCAAAATAAACAAATTTAACGAGATTGTGGGTTTTCGATTTCTAAGAATTTAACAATTGATGATGATTCATCATAAAATAATCCGTCGTATAGACGAGCAAGAATAATAAGAAAACGGGATCATTGTCTTTTTTTTCTAGTTCATATATATGATGCAACATCAGGTCGTCTTTGGGGTCAATGTGATTTACGTGATCATTTAAGTTTTCCAACAAGTGTCTGTGTCAATGATCGACATGAACTCTATATAAGTGATAATGAATCACATTTTGTACGAGTATTTGATTATAATGGACAGCATTTAAAAAATATTGGTGCTGGTATATCATATCCAATAGCATGTCGTATTGTAAGTTTTATTAATTATTTTTTTTTTGTATACTATCTTCTTCTTTTTAAAGAATCAACCACGTCGTGAACTTATTGTTGTTGATAATCACGAGAATTTTAATATTACAACATATGATTATGATGGAAATAAAAAATATTCACATTATTCAGTAAGAATTTCGATGTTTTTGTTTTGAATAAAATATATATGTATATTCTATTTAGTTAATGAAACATTCTCAATGTTTCGATGTCGCTGTTGGATATAACGATGAATTAGCAATGGCATCTAAAGATTATAAAATTTATGTTTATAAATTAGGTGAAGGTCTTGAAACGCCGGCAAACAGTAGTGATATAAATCATAATTATTATTAAAACAAATTTTTTTTTCTCTTCTCTTTTCTTTGTTCTTAAAATGATCTTTAATTATTATCTTGTTCGTTCTCGTATATTGTACAAATTGGTTTATATCTACCGCGTAATAATATTATAAATATAAATTATCTTTCTTCTCCTTTGTGGTAGACGAATTAATTTTTTTCTCCTTCTTCATGTTAGCATAACTACGTTTGATTTTCTTTTTTTTTTCTTTTCGTTTGTCTTTTATTTGTTATACTTAAACATTCATAAATACATACATATATATTTCTATTATTTTTGGTTTCTTCGCTTTTCTTTTTTTGTTATTTGACCATACATACATGAATATAAATTGAGATATGATGCGTGTGAGTTGAGAAAGAGGAAAAAAAAACACCGAGCTTTATTATTTATTGGGAAAAAAAAGAAGTTTTTTTTTTTTCTTGCATAAAATTCAACAGAGCAAAATCTTTTAATGGAAGAATAGAATTTGTTTAATTCGTTGAAAAAAAAGTCCTTCGATAAAATGTTCATTTTCAAACATGAATTAATTCAACAAGGTTGTATGATTTGTCATTCTAACAGAACGGCAACAGACCGTATTAATTATTATATTCTATACCTATGTGTAACTATTTAGCATATATATGTATATATGCGTGTATGTGTATACAAGCATTTTTTTTCCTTGAAAATGTATATATGATAAATGTCGTTGTCCTTATCTATATAATAATTTATCAAAACGTTATGTAATCATTTACTATTTTCATTATTATTGACATCGGAATATAAATATCGATAGATGTGTCAGTATCTAATTACAATTTTTAAACTATAGAAAACCGTCAAAACCTAATATTCTCATTTAGAAAAAAGACATTAGTTTAAATCTATATGATGCATAGCCAAATAATTAATTATAAATATTTAATCAAGTCATTATTCTTCATATGTTGATTCATTCTCATAAATTTTCTTTCTTCTCTCTCTCTATTCAGCCTTACAAAATAAATGTTTTTTTCTCTTCTCATAGAAATCATAGTAATAAATACTGCTTTTATATTTGCATTTTTACCGGTTTTTTTCCTGTGACGGATCTGAAAAATAAAATTTCATCCAATTGATTAAAAAAGAAAATAATATTTTGTTGGTTATGTTGTGCAAATACATCACTATGTTAAACTTATGGCCTTAATACCCTTGCCAATATGTATGTACATGAAGTGTGTGGTTAAATACCCTTGAAAGGTATTCGTAAAAACATTCGTGCACGATCAAACACCAATTTATGTGTGTACAAGCACGCTTACAAAATCATTCGTTCTTATTTTTTTGTTTTATTTTTGTCAAAAATGGTTAAAAAAAATGTTTATAATGTAAAGAGAAACCTGAAGTTGATAATGTTGTTATTTTGTTTATTCAATATATGAAAAGGGGGTAAAATAAAGAAACGTCCTTTTTTAGCCATTTTCTTTCAAGGCAAAATATCTCGATATCAAAAGTCGATATCACATTTTTCTTTGTCATAAAGGTATATTCCATGTGTATCGTCAATAAGAAAAATAACCGTTTATGAGAGAAAAATGAGGGTTTGTCTCAGAGCCAAGAAAATAGAATAATTGTTAAAAGAAAGAAAAGAGAGAAAAAAACGAGAGAACGCATTCGTTTGCAAATTTTTTTAGGCAAATAATAACAACATCAAAATATAGAATGATGAATTGAATCGAGTAAGGTCTGTTTTTTTTCTATTGAGTCTATAACAATTCAGGATCCATAATACTAATGACATCGACCTTGAAAGTTTTTATATTAGCATTTATATTTATTTGAAAAGTTGTTGGCATATTTTATTATTGGTTAATCATTTATCCTAAAGAAACTTATCTAACCTTACATTTTATTATCTTTTAAAGTGGAAGAAGAAGAAGAAGAAGAAAAATGAATGGTATGTCAAAATTTAAAAAACAAAAGAACACGTGTTAATTACTCATATATAAAAAAGTGTTTTTATTCTTTAGTATAAAAAAGAATAAGAAATTCTTGACACAAGAACAGAAAGAAAACAATAAAATGTATTAAAAAAAAACATACAAACTGCAAAGAAAAATACAGATCATTTGCTTCAGATCAACTTTACATCTATACAATAATGTTATCGAACAATCGTATGTTTTCTTTCATTTAAACACGCGTCTGTCATTAACAATTTTCTTATTGTGTATTACATATGTTTACATTTACTTCGTCAATTTTTTAATTCAATGTCAAACTAAGAAGAGAAAAAAACAGTGCTTCTACTGCATTTCTTTTTTAACAACAAAAATCGAGAAAGAGAAATGTCATACTACTCTTTTTCTTCCTCTCTCTCTCACTTTTTTTTCTTCTTTTTCTCTGAGATATTTTTCAATACTTTCAAGCATTTTGTTTAGTATGTTTACATACAAAGTATTTGAAAGAAAAATACATATATATATAATATTTCCTATTGATATATTCTGAGGTCAAAATATGTTCATTGTTTCTAGATTAATATACGACGACAAAATTATCTAATGGGAAGTTTTTCATGGGATAATCATAGTTATTTACAATATCATAATGGTCGACCATTATCAGTTGCTTTGACAGAACCATGCGACTGTGAATTGTCACCTTTTATTGAAAGTGATTTTGCAGCACAACGTCATCATGCTCGAAGTAATTCATCAGGTCGAAGATTTAAACGAGAATCTTATCGTAAGTTGAAAAAATAAAACATTTTTTTCGAAACTGTTTTGTGTGTGTTTCATTTAAAAACAAAAAAAAGGTATTTATCATCCAAATGTTCAATATACTTCTTATGTTTTTTCGCCACCGTTACCGCGTCGACAACTAGTTCGGAGTTCTTCAGGTGACTTACTCATTGAAAAATTAGGTAAAATAAAGTTTATATGACATGTCATTTATTCATTTGATCGATAAATAATTAGAAACGGTGACAATAGAGGAACAGCAGTGTCTGCCGATTCACACTGGGATTTCATATGTTCGTACACCATCGCCTCCTGTTCGACAAGTTAAAATACGTTCTCGACCTTCATCATGTTATGATCTACATAACAGGGAATCAACAGGTAAACAATTGATGAAAAGTTTTTTTAATATTATTTTCAAGTGTTGTATAAGATCAACGATGGACAAAAGTGGTTGATGAACATCATGAGGAACATTATAACTATAATTATAACTATAATCTACCAATAGATCGTATTGTACCAAGTAAAAAAAAAATTTTTTTTTGTCGTATTTTTGCTTATTTATGAACTAGTTCAACGAGACCCAACACCACCAAGATTTATTCATCAGAATGAAACAGTAACAACAACAGAAGATTTTAATTTTAATATAACAGCAAAACCAGGTTTACATTTTAAAAAAATAGCTCAAAAATTTAATCATTTTTATTAAAAAAATTCCATTAGCTATTCGTCCTTCCATGCGAAGTGTTGGAACAACAACTAAAGATCTTCGCCCTTTAAGTAGATCAGGTAAAAGAAAAATATTTGTAAATATTCTTTTCTCATTTAAATTTTTTATTAAAATAGAAACACAAGTCATCGAACGATATGAAAAAGACGAAAAAATTCGACGTGATTCACTTACAGGTTAATAATAAAAAGAAAACTCATAGAATTAAATTAATATTTTTTTCTTCTATAAAAAATAGAATCAGGTACTAGTATACTAGGATGTCAACGACCATTGCAACATTCGTATGATGGTAATTATTCTTCTTCTTTTTCAAATTCTGCTTTTTAGTACTTGCTCTAATATTATGCTTAATCTATGCTATTAAGTATATTCTTAATCATAGATAATGATGTTCATAACGAACATTATCACCATACTAGTAGAACAAAAAAAAAACTTTGCTAGAACAACTGCATGCTAGACATAGTAATATTCTTTTGAATTCATACTAATTTCATATGTTGATAGATTTTGGTTGAATTATTGATTTTTGTTATTTCTAGTCAAGCCATAGTAAGTAGAGTACAGTAAACAAACTTTCGTAATAAAATAACGCGAGTTTCGATATGAATTTGTAGAGATATATTAGCCATTAATACACAAAACTAGACATAAAAAATCTGTGTACTTACTGATGATTGATCTCCATCTGTTTTCTTTTTTTTGTATTTTTGCAATAAAAATAAGTATCATATAATGATTCATATCGAAAAAAAATTCTTATTTTTTATCTTTATTAATTTTTGACAATTTTAGGTAAAACATCAAAATCATACAATGCATTGAATGTTTATTCGGATCATGGAAGACATGATCTTACTGTTCGACCAACTCATAAACCACGTGAAGCTCTCGTTGATACTTATGAAATAACTGCTCCTCCAAGTAATTCATCCTATTCAATGATACCAATAACTGTTGAAAAAAATTCAAGATCTCGCTATTATTATTAATATACTTGATTTAATCTAAACATCATGATAAAAAACAACGAACAATAATCTTGTACATTCCAAATATTCAATCATATTTTTTTCTGTTGTTCAGATATTGAATTCTCTCGTATTTTTATTCATTCAGAAATATTTCACCACCGAGAGAGAGAGAAAAAGAGATCTTGTAGATAGATTAGTTTATCTAGATTATATATTTTGATTCAAAAAACTCCTTTTACGGTATTTATATAAAAAAAACACAATTGACTTCGAAAAATAATTAATTTTAAATATATTAAAACAAATAATATTGATTATTATTTTTATATTTCCATTGCTTCATGCATATATTTTTTCTTTTCACTCTTATCAATTGATTTCAAACCAGTCGCTGTTGCTGCAGCTGCATCACGTCCAGCATAACTATTTAAATAAACGAATGAAATATGAGAAAAGAATAAATATATATTCGTACTTGATTTCATTAGCACGTTTATCATTCATTTCTCGGAGAACGCTAGCAAGACGTGGTTTACAGAATGAATACTAAATAAAGAATTAACGGATTAGAAAAATATACATAAATAAATTACCGATCCCATATTTTTATGTTCTTCTTGTGCAAAACATACTTTTGCGTTTTTATATTTTTCAAGTTCCATACGAATTGAATCAAATGGAAATGGACATAATTGTTCAATACGTACAATAGCTATTTGAGAATCAAGTTTTTCTCCTGTTCGTTCGTTTATTAAATCATAGTAAGTTTTTCCAGAACAAAAAATAAGTTTTTTGACTTGATCAGGATTAGTCGATGCTACACCATCTTCTGGATAAATAAGTTTAAAACTTGTACCTTAGAAAAATAAATAGAAAAATAAATTTTAGATGTTGATAGATATTATTTTACCATCTATTATTTCATCAAATGATGAACGACATTCAGGTAAACGAAGTAAAGATTTTGGTGACATTATTATTAATGGTTTACGGAATGGAAGTGCTGTTTGACGGCGAAGAATATGAAAAAAATTTGCTGGAGTTGTTACATTTGCTATTATCCAATTTGTTTGATCTAGTTGATACATTGATAGATCATTATATACGCTGTTTTTAATTTCTGGTACATGATCTTCATCTTCAGCTGACATCTAAAGATATGTATTTTATAGAATATAAATATAAGTTAGAGATTATGAAGTTAAAAAAATGTTTACCTGTAAAAATCGTTCTAATCGAGCAGATGAATGTTCTGGTCCTTGTCCTTCGTATCCATGAGGTAGAAGAAGAACAATTCCACTTTGACGAACCCATTTAGCTTGACCACTTGAAATGAATTGATCAATAATACATTGAGCAGTATTAGCAAAATCACCTAGATAGAAAATACAAAATTAATAAAAACTTCCAGAAATTATTGTTTTACCAAATTGTGCTTCCCATATCACAAGTGAATATGGATTTGATGTTGAATATCCAAGTTCAAAACCTAATACTGCAAATTCTGATAATGAACTATTACATATTGTATAATTTCCTTGTGTTTGATGAAGATTATTCAAAGGTATATAAGTAACTAAATCTTTTTCTTGATCATGTAAGACATGATGACGATGTGAGAATGTTCCTCGTTCAACATCTTGTCCACTAAGACGAACATGATGTCCAGAATCTAAAATACTTCCAATTGCTATTGACTCTGCTAATGCCCAATCAATTTGACGTTCTTCTAACATTTTAATACGATTGTCAAATATACGTTTAAGACCTCGATGAAGATTCAAATCTTTTGGTGGTTCATAAGCTTTAATACCGATATTTTTTACTTTATCTTCAGATATACCAGTTTTTGGATAAGGAAAAGGACCGTGTTTATTAAAAAATCCTTTCCATGGTGCATCAATCCAACTTTTGATTTTAACAACAGCAGAATTTTTAGAATTTGTCCATGCAGTATCAATAAATTTCTCATATTTAGTTACTTCAGCCTTAAAGTTCCATGAAGAATATTATAATAACTTACATTAACTCTATCAATACATACTTCATACCATTCTTGTTTGATTATATTGCTTTTAAGTAATTTGTCAATCCACTTTTTCAACACCGGGGTTTGTTCCTTAATTTTACCATACCTTTAAAAACAATACAATTTTAAATTTGGTTTTTCATAAAAAAAACTAACATATGTGGTTGTGTAAACATAGGTTCATCAGCTTCATTATGACCATGACGCCGGTAACCAACCTAAAAATAGTAGAATATTTTTAGAATAAAATTAACTCTAAGACAATGATTTACTAGATCAATAACAACATCTGTTTTAAATTTACATCTCCATTCAGCAGCTACTTTAGCTACATATAAAACTGAATCAACATCATCGGCATTAACATGAAATATTGGTGCATTAACAACTCTTGCTACATCAGTACAATAGGGGCTTGAACGAGCTACACGTGGATCCGTAGTAAAACCAATCTAAGTAATTAAATTGTGAAAAAAGACTTTGTTTTAATCGAAAGTTTTCTGTGAAATACCTGATTGTTACAAATAATATGAACAGTTCCATGAGTTGTATAATCTGGTAAATGAGTTAAATGAAATGTTTCAAAAACTACACCTTGACCAGCAAAAGCTGCATCGCCATGTAATAATATACTCATCACTTTGTCACCTTGTTTATCGTTACGATAAAATTGTTCAGCTCGAGTTCGACCTTGAACAACAGGATTCACAGCTAAATTATATCAAATATGTTATTATTTTTTGTAATGAAAATCGTTCTTAAAATATTACCTTCAAGATGTGATGGATTAGCTAAGAGTATAAATTTAATTTTTGAATTCGTCGCAGAATATAAACGTTCAATATATGTTCCCAAATGATATTTAACATCACCAGTTTCCTACATTGAATTCGAAATCATAACAAAAATTTCTTAATCTGATGTACTTACAGGTTCACCATCCGTTGCTATTTTGTCATTAAATAGACGTAGAAGTTCGTCTAATGCTTTCTTTGTAACATTACTGAGAACATTAAGACGACCACTAATTTAAAAGCAAACTTAGAAAAAAAGAAATTAAACGATTTATTATAATACTAACCGATGTGGCATGCCCATAATAACTGTGTCAACACCTGTACTTGCTACTGTATCAATAACCATTTTCATAGCTGGTATTAATACTTCACATCCTTCAAGGCCGAAACGTTTCTCTGTAGTCCATTTTTTCTTTAAAAATTCTTCAAATCTGATAAAGTATTAGTTTTAAATAAATAAAATAGATATTCTTTTGTTTCCATACTTTGATGCATGAATTAGTCGTCGAGCTGCACGTTCAATTTCTTGTATCTCTAATACTTTCTTTGATGGATCTTCAAATCGTTGACGAATCCAATTACATTTTTCATGACTATTTATGTGCATATATTCAACAGCAACTGTTTGACAATAAATATTCTATTATTAAAATGAAAATTGCATATAATAATGTTCAATAGAAATCTTAAGTAAAGCAGAAAGATCACTGTAGAATTTTTTAAAACATAGAACGATTTTGTTCTATGTAATAGCAAGTAAAATCAAATGAATTTAAAAATAAGATTATATTAACTGATCCGAACGAGTAGAACTAGTTCCTAATACTCCCATACAGCCATAAAAGCAAATAAGAAGCAGCATAGAGAAATAAATATACTTTCATTCGAAGTTTTCAAACGATTGTAATTTGCCTGGTATAATATGTACAACTATCTAAATTGCAAGGATGTTCAAACTATGTTTAATCATTAAATATGTACAAAAGAATGATGCATACCAAATAAAATTCTCAAGTATGACTATACCGAGTGTCAATGATTCGATAAAATCTAATAATATCTCGTATGGTTTCGTCGGATCTTACAAGTTCCGATATTCGGTTGCCTCTACCTAAATCTGCACTGAAAGTCGTGATAACAAGTCTATCTATCTGATTTCTAAAACAAATATCGTATCCAATTGATCATTTCTGTTGATGGAATATAATTTAACACTTTCGAATATAAACTTCTTGCTATGATGAAACCTAAGCTATATCTTACTTCTAATCGTCGAATAATTTCACGTAAAGGAAGTTGATTTTCCTCGCCACCAATATAAGTACCAGGTGGTAGAAAAAATGTTCGATCAAGATCAGCTTCAGCTAAAATGACAAAGAAACGCAAAATAGATTTTATTCTATTTCTAAGACAACATTAATCGATTATGTGCAAGCTACTGTTCTATTTGAGATTAAGTGTTTTTCAATATCTATACACACATGTACATATTAATTAAACTCAATTAATTATATTTGAACAAATATAGTTTGATCATAAATATATCGCTTTGAGATGAATTAGTAGAAGCTTAAAGCATTGATTAGTTTTACAAAATCTATGTCTTACTGAAACGATAAAATTTATATGATAAATCAGTTGGTCTTTCCGAATCAAGATCAATTGTTGAGATTTCAAGTGGATCAAGTTTAGCTAATTTATGGCCGCGCACCTATCATGAAAAATGTTTTTGTTAAACAGGAAGTCAAACTAGATAATAATTATATAAACCTGGAAAGATCGAATAAGAGAAGCGACAGCCACGTGATCATCGACAAGTTTACTATTAAATATTTTTCTTTCTCGACTACCATCTGTTTGTATTCGATTAGAAACTGGAAATTGGTTCTCACTAGAATTTATCACTTTATCATATCGTGAGAAACCTGGTGAACATAGAAAAAGGTCTGGTGTTGAAGTTTTTTGTTGATTTTGATTACAAAAATACAAATCCCATGACTGACAAAACAATGAATAAAAGTGTATATTTTATTTTTGAAAAATATTTCAATTATACTTTATGAACTGATTGTGGATCTTTAGACCATTGTTCATACATGCTCTCGATATAGGTGTCAGATGATCCATTAAATGATTTATGTGTTGTACGAGCCAATACAGTTAATTGTGGAATGCATCGAATTGATGCAAGTCTTGGTCGTGAAACCGATGAAAGTAATCGCTCCATTCCAAGTGAAATGGATTTATTAGAAAGGATCAAAAATAAATAATTCACTACTTCCCTCTTGGTAAAAACCCATGGCGTTGCTAAGGAGATGATTCACAGCTGATCGATGACGTCATTATCTATTACACTTCATTAGTTTTTCCTCTTTTCCTCTATCAAACATTTAATTTACGCATTTATCTATTTCTAACCAATATGAATTGATATTTTATTTGAAATAAATAAATAATTTTGAATATTTTCTTTATTATATTTTAAATAAATGTATTAGAAGCGCTAGGTGCAATATGAATCATATATATTTATTACGCAGTGATGTAGAAACAGTGTAATAGAGGAAGAAAGAAATAAAAAAAAAACATTAGATACAACCAACTAGTTCGCTAACAGATGGTTTTCTGTATGTAGATTTAAATTTTGAATGTAGATGTATAATAAATCATAAAATTATTTTTTCCTTATTTGTTTAGTTTTCTAAAATTTTTCTATGTATTTTTCTTTCTATTTCAAAAACTCTTTTTTTATCGCTTCTTTCAAACCGCTTGTCTTTTATCTTATAATAAACATCGATATAATTTAATTCGTCAGAGGCAAAAAAAACTACATTCAATTAATATCATTTTTGTTCAATATTCAATCATCTGACATCGATTGCCCCATAATAACCTGATTTTTTTTCTCTTTCGTTCTCCTTATTTCCCTCTACTGCCCCGCTAAACATCGTCGTCGTCGTCGTCGCCTTTTCTCCCCTATTTATTCTTTTTTTTCTTTACCATGAAGAGGCGAACTTGCGTTCGGCAGCAAATGCTTCTCGCAACCTCTTTCTTTTCGTCGACATTGTTGTCTTCTTGTCCTCCATTAATAACAAAAGAAAAAACGCACATTGGTAAAGATAATAAAAAAAAAAATTTTTTTTTCTAGATCTTTCTCTCTCTCTCTCTTTCCTCAAACTTCCCATACAACAATTTAAATACTCGTCTAATTGCATATAGTATATCTATATATTTGTGTCTGGTAGAATGGCACTGAAACGTATCAATAAAGAATTACTCGAACTTGAAAAAGAGTAAGTTATCAAAGAAATGAAGAAAAAAAACAAAAAATTGAATATTATTTTTTATTGAATATTTTAGTCCACCAGCTAATTGTAGCGCTGGTCCTGTAAATGACGATATGTTTCATTATAAGTATTTGTATTTCGAATTTTCATAAAATGCACGTTTTGTTTATTTATACGGCAGGCAACAATAATGGGACCAGGAGATAGTCCATTCCAAGGTGGTGTATTTTTTCTTTCAATCCATTTCCCGGCCGATTATCCATTTAAACCACCAAAAATCACGTAAAATATATAATTAGATATTTCAATATATATGTCGTTAAACAAAAAAAGTTAATTTAGATTTACAACAAAAATTTTTCATCCAAATATTAATTCCAATGGAGCTATTTGTCTTGATATTCTTCGTTCACAATGGTCACCAGCATTAACTATTTCTAAAGTTTTACTTTCGATTTGTTCACTACTTTGCGATCCAAATCCCGATGTAACAAAAATTGAAATATTTTCAAAAACTAAAGAACCATATGTTCGTTTTTATTTTCTAGGATCCATTAGTACCTGATATTGCGCGTACATATAAAACGGACAAAGAAAAATATAATGCGGTAGAAATTTATTTTAAATAAAAAATACAATTATCTATTTTAAAATTTATGTAGACGGCGCGACAGTGGACTCAGAAATATGCTATGTAAAAATTTCGAGACATGATCAAGTGTGCAACAAATAATCATCAAGAAAAGAGACATCAATGCGTCTATATACACACTCTCTTTTTTTCCTGTTTGTTTGTTCCTTTTCTTTTGAATTTGCACACACACACATATACTTTTTTTTCTCCTTTTTAAGCTCGTCTTTCTTTCTTCTTTTTTCGTGTGTTTGAATGAACATGAAGTGAAAGAGGGAGAGAGTGACATATTAAAAAAAAACCATCACAACATCATCATCATCATCATCTCCTATTGTGTGTATGTATATGTATGTACGATGTGTTTGTGTTTATGTTATGAAAGATGAACA